ATATATATATATATATACTGAGGAGTATTCAATTATTGGTAATGTTCCATATATGGAGCATTACGGAGAGGCACATTCACAGGTGAGAATGGAGCATACTGAATTTGGGAATGTATATGGTTGAAGGGAGGAGAGTATGCCAACTGACTGTTAACAGTGTTTTGTGTTGTATAAGTCTCCTCTCCCAAGTGTTGAATTCCATTTTCTGGGCATGATGTTAACCATTCCTGGGGTGGATTTGGAGGAGGTACGTGATAAGAGACTTGGGTTTGGGGCACATATTGATCTGGTTCATTTACATTCCACATATGTGATTGATATTGATAAAACTCTCCATGCAATTGTGGCTGAGAACCTTGTACATCCCCATCAGCATTAAAATACATTGATGAATACTCTGTTGTATTCGGTTGTGTACCCATAAATAATGGATCTCCATTATTATCCAGTGGTGCATTGAAATTAGGCAATTCACCCCATACCTGATGCTCTCCACTGGGTATCACTGTATCCAGACGAGGCTGCATATGACTGGTAGCTTCTTTCTGGTAGAGTACCATTCCCATTGACATTTGGCTACCTGAAGATGGTGGTCCCACAGCATACTGTTCAGAAATTCCGACATTTTGGACGGATGGCATGGTCTGGATTTCACTACTGGCAATAGAGACATACCTCTTGTCCTTCACTTTTCCCTGGAAAGGTACTTTTCCTACTGATATTCCGTTGCCTACAGCCACCGATGGCATGGCATGTTGGGAAGAGATCCTGACATTTTGGACGGATGGCATGGACTGCATTTTACTATTGGCAACAGAAAAATATCTCATCTCTTTCACTTTTTCCTGGTAAGGTACTGGTCCCGCCGACATTCCGCTGCCTGCCGGGAATGTCTGCATGGGATGTTGGTGTGAGATCCCGACATTTGAGACAGACGGCACGGCCTGCACTTCACGTCTGGCAGTTGACACGTGCATCTTCTCCTTCACTTCTTCCTGAGAAGGAACCCTGCCGACCATAATTTCACTGCCCGCAGAGGACTGTCCCATGGCATGCCGACCAGAGATCCCGACAGTTTGGAGAGATGGTATAGTCGGTACCACGGCTAATTCGGTCTTCAACTTCACTTGTGGAGCATTCCATACCGCTGTAGAGACGCCATTTCCCGGAACCGGGCGAGGCAGCGCTTCCCGCAGCACTTGCCACTCCTCGAGGGAGCCTCCACGTCTCGCAGCAGGACGCGGGTAACCCGCGTCGTCGGCTTCTCGCAGCTGCACTCGTTCCGCTAGCGAGTCGCGCCGTCTCGCGGCAGGACGCGAGCGGCTGGCGGACAGTACCTCGCGAAGGTAGGCGGAGACGCGGGGGTTGTTGGCGCGCTCGGCGACGTCCGCTGGCGTCTCACCGGCGGCGTTGGCGCGCGACGGGTCGGCGCCGGCCTCCACCAGGGCGCGCACCGCGTCGACGGTGGCGCCGTGCGCGGCGGCGGCGGCGTCGTGCAAGGGGGTGTCGCCACGGGCGTTGGCGGCGGCCAGGGCTGCGTCGGCCCCCTTGCTCTCCAACAGGACGCCCACGGCCGCCGGGTCGCCCGCGTTGCGACACGCCAGGTGCAGCACGGTGTCGCCCTGTGAAAAGCATCACTGTCACTACTTGCTCGTCACATGATGCTCTCGTTAGGAATAATGTTCAGTACCAACAAAAGCAGAAACTATAGAAACGAGAATCAGAAAACGTCAGCAAGGTCTTGAAAGACACCCATCACTAGCACCTACATTTCCGATAGCATGTCTTCATACCTAGAGGCAATGGTTTTAAGTCGTTTCAGTTACGTATTAGATTATAATTACTTTCGAAGACCTAAACTTGCTTTGTACTCTCTGGATGACTTCTTCACATATGCGCTTATGTATAATATACAATTTTCTTAATGTTCTATATAAGAACAAAATGCAACTAAACAGAAGGATAAAAATCACAGCTGTCAACCATCTATGGTCAGATTAATTCCTCCAGTATGTCTGAACAATTAAACCCCCTACTAATACTAAAATATTGCACGTGCATTTTTTAATTGTGTGTCCAAGACAAAATTTACAAGGCATTTTTAAACCAAAGTACTTCATGCCAAGGCATACACCTCTTCTAACAATCACCTTTCTTTAGCAAATGCCATGAGGCTATACCGACATCGGAAACGATACGCCCATCGTCATTGCGAATGCGAGTTAACAGTCGTCTGTGCAAATTAACTGTCCACTCCTAACAGACAGACACTATTACGATTGCTTGTTTGTTATTACGGGTGCGCCAATGACTAAGGACATTGTCCCGTAAGTGTAGTGCATGTTTTGCTCGTATGGTGGAGGTGGTCTTTCCACGCTGTTTCGCGAGTTCCGGCGCCAACATACCGTCGGCTAGACATCTCCCAACATCGGGGCACCGCCCAAGCCGGCCCAAGCCGGAACAAGCTCTAAGCTCCCCATAGGTCTCCCAGCACTTGTAATATTATAGTGTGTTAGTGTGTGGGGGGGGGTTGTAAGGAAGGGGTGAGGCTAGAAGGAAGATCGCGTGTGGTCCGTTCGTTAGGATACTGCTCCGGCATTCGCCTGTTGTTGACCGGAGAAACTACGAAAAACTACCGATCAGAGCAGCCGGCCGCTAGAATTCTCCTCCAGACAGCGACTGAATTCGACCTAGCAGACAAGATAGTTTCCATAATCCTGCCATCTTCGGGACTCGAACGCGGGACCTCCCGGTCAGAGACAGTGCAGTGACATCAGTTGAGGCCTGAGCCTCCCTTCCCGGGAATCATTGCAACGCTGAGCCGAGAGCGGCGAGCGGCTGCGCACCTCTGCGTTGGCGGCGGCCACGTCGTGCTCGTGCTCCAGCAGCGCGCGCAGCACCCCGGCGCCCCAGGCGCTGCGCGCGCGGAAGGCGGCGCCCGCGGCGCCCAGCA